ATATATATAAATGTTGTAATTATCAACGAAAACAACTCATACACTTACCATATAATTCTATTTCTTGTTTAGTAAATTGAAGGTTCCGAGTTTCGTCATGTTTTTCTATAATTTGTAATACTTCGTAAAAGTCGGGTGGAACAATATAATTCGGAACAGCATTAAAGTTCTGAATGTGTTTTAATTTGTTCATCCGACTAATACTAATATTTACAAAGTTAATGATAGATTGATCAATGGCCTTAATACCGGTCATTTCATCTTGGATATCATTCAACGTAATTTTTTTCTTCATTATTTCTGATTTTAGTTTTTTATCTCTTGCTATATCACTAAGTGCTTGGCATAACTGTACATATTTTCTTTTATACCTATCTTCCTTTAAATACGCTGAGTCGTCATCATCATCAAAGATTACGTCTGCTGTTTCTAGTTCTTTGATTCTTCTTCGGCATTCTTTTATAACCTTCTCTAATATTTTAATTTTTTTCAACTCGTCTTTAGTATATTTTGGTTCTGTGTCTGATTCACTGCCTTTTTCTCGTGTTGATTTATCTTTTTTTAGTTTAATTATGCGTCTACTGATTTCCTCACGAACTTCAAATATAGTTTGGTAAAATTTAGCTTTTTTATGAGTTATATTGTTCAAGCGATTTCGAAGAAAAAGTATGAAGTCTCTATCATCTTTGTTGAATGAATCAAGCTTGTTGTATTTCTTTTGCAACTTTTCAAGAATTACTTTAGTTTCTTCATCAGCCTTTTCATAATTAGCACAGGCTTTTAGAAAGTCTTCAAAAACTTCATCCGCAGAATTTGGAATAATATCTTTGACAATTAAGACTGGTTGAATTCGCCTAACAGTTTTATCCCTCACTCCTGTGTTTGATGGAGACTTGGTCTGCGATTTTTTTTCAACTTCATCGAAATATTTTGATGTTCCTGCCTCAGACGATTTAGAGTCAATTATCAAGTTACAATTATTATCTACACGATAACTTTCAGACTTATTGTCGATACTAAGACAGGAATTCAGGCTCGATGAAGTTTTTTCCAAGTTAGAGTCAATGCAAACCTTAGATGTTTTTTCGCTATCTTCAAATTTGAGTTTCTTAGCACTACTGCCATCTCCAGCTGGCTCAAAAGGGAATTTTCTTTTCTTCTTTAATGCCTCCTGAATAAAATTTTAATTGTAATGTGTAACTATCATCACAACTGTATGTAACTGTTATGTTTGTGGTACATGAAACCTTCTCTATGTAATATTTAAAAGAAAAACTCAAAAAAAATTTACCCGGGTATGCTAGCTTCAGTGTGCAACAAAAAGGTAAAGTTTATTTATAGTATATTACGTACCTAGGCCAGAAAGTGGGGCTATTACTGACCGCGCTATATTATCGGTAATGCGCGGTCAGATGTAGCCCCACTTTTTGGCCGTGGTACGTATACTTTTTTTCCTTACACCTCGGCCGAAAGTTCGTCACCACGATTTTAGTTTTGTTAAAAATGATGGTTTAAAGATCCAGTCAAAGATTTAGTGCATCCCTATGCATTATTGTTGATCGATCGGTCGCTCGAACAATACCACTTAAATGCACGTAGATGAGTGTTCATGTGTATAGGTATATCTATGTATATACGCTCGCCGAGACTGTAGTATATAATATAGAATCAGATTGGGCCGAGGATTTGTGCAGGTTGGTCGTGCTGGCAAAACGAGAGGAAGAGAAATCCGTTTAAATTCGAATCATGGATCCTATAAAGATCATTTTAAAAATCCTAATGTTTATATCCGTAAGTGCAAAATAAATCAGGTTATTATCAATAACTATTATAATTGTGATAGGCATAATTCGATTAAATAAAAGATTTCATAGTTTATTTTTGTAATATGACATGTATATACTACATTTATATACTAAATAAATCATTAAAGTGAAAGTAACTGATCAAAAAACATTAATTTGGTAGTTTTAATTTTTTGTTGTGTACTCTGTTCATGTAAAATTAATAAATTTATATATACATGTAAATTGTGCAAAAAAAAAAAAAAATATATATACATCCAATAATTTATGTAAATAAATATCCAACGATTTTCTGTGTTGTATAAACTATAAAGGTTATAACTCCGTTAGCCGTATATATGTATTGAATAACTACTGCTGCTTCTCGGTGCTGAATATATAACTATATATATCTGCGCACTTCGTTCTGCGCACATATGGCAGGACTGATATGAGGCTTTTTCTAGCTCAAAATCGGGTCAGATGGAACGAACTTTCGGCGGAGGTGTAAGGAAAAATATTAAGTTTGCTGCATGCAAGAGGAGGTGCGTGCTAAAGGGGACCAATACCCTCGACTCCTCTTTGTCTTTCCTCTGAATAATACTCCTGAATCTCCTTAAATATTCGAAACCCCCCTATGGAACATATAAACCTATTTGAATTATATATTTGTTACAAAGGGAGACACATGTATTTCAGAAGCAGGGACACAAATTTCTATTAATATTCCATACAGGGGACATAAGCAATATTTAAATTTTTGTCAATAAAACTTTTTTAAGAAATTTACGATTGAAAAATAACGAAATATTCAATACTAGGATTGCTATTTATTTGTTTTTCAATCATCAAAAAACTACACTTGACCAAAATCGTTCCTAGGGGTACCTTTGTCTTACTAAAAAAAATTTTGAAAAAATAAAATGCAGTTTGTTCTTACGTGATGGACTTTGTTTTAAAAAGTATAAAAAAATATTGAAACCCCTTGTTCAAGTATTTTAATATAATGATGATGACTAATAATCTCACATTATATAAAATAAAGTAACATTAACTAAATTTCCTCATTTTTAATTAATTAACAAATGAAAAAAATTAACAAAACAAGTTTGTTTTATTCTGGAAGCAAATAAACTCACAAAGTATACAATAAAATTTAATATGCGTAGTTTTGTAAACATTAAACAAAGATGCTTCTTGACTACCATACACACTTAACAATTAACACACACTCATTCAATCTCAGTCATGAATTTTCAATCACTGGCTTTTGCCATTAATTGTATAATATTATCAGCTCTCAAGTTTGAGTTTTCAATTGACAAAGCGTTACGATTCCTACACTGTACATAATCATTTTGACTGTTCAAGAAAATAAAAAATTATTTATTTGTTGAAAAAATCCATTTTCCAACGAATTTGACTTTTTTTCTCGTCATCGGTTTGTATATGGTATTTTTGTAAAATATTGCTAACTACATCTCTACTATATTTCAACA